GGGGGGGGGGGGGTAAATTTTGAGTACTTGTGTGTTCATTTTAAGACTTTTTATTTAGAAAACAAAAAGGTTCTATTCTATCTACAAAGTCGAACTCTCTGTGAACCAATCAGCACTTCGAATGCACACAAGATGACCAATCAGGATCAACTTTCTTTGTCGTGTCGCCGGACTGCTCCGTGACAGGAGAAAAGATTAAATGTGAAATATTTTAATTGTAACAGTATATATTTTTTTAAATTATATTTAGTCAGTGAAACATTTTTCAATGTTTATAATCCCTTATATGAATAGCGACCCAGGACGTCATTGACTACTCTCCCCCTCATCAATTTCTAAAAGTCAGACATCAAACTTCTTAATATTCCTCAATCTATTCATTATAAGCAATATAACAAGTAGCCTATATATTTTTCCTGCACAATAATAATTAAATGTCTGACTCAATAAGTGCAATTCACTTTTATTCCTCAAGGTGGCACTGTTTGATACACAATAATGACATGATGTTTCCAGTGTTGCCCAGATTGGGCAGGTTTTGAATTTGATTGTGCAGGTGGACAAAAATTAGGCTGGTTTGGGGTCAGTTTGGCGGTTTTCAAACATCTAACATTTATAGGCTATTTGGTTAAAAAACAAAACCCAAGTGTGCTTGTACTGCATCCAATCAGTCACCATGTTACTAAACACACACAGGCTGGTGCTGATGTTGACCTCGCCTGCAACACTTTTAGCCAATCACGAAGGAATAAGCAGACAGCTGAGTGACGTTTTTTGTTTGTTTGTTTGTTTGTTTTTAGCAAAAGGGATCCGATTTTGAATGTATAGCTGTATCCTCAAGCGATCACAATGCCAGTGTGGCATAAATATAAGTTACACGGTAAAGAGTGGGATAGTGACTCGACTCTCACAACATGAATTACTGTGGAAGGAGATGACACGAAAGCTCTTAGTTTACATCAATGTAACTCTGAAATCAGAGCACAGTTAAATCATTAAATCAAAATCGAAAATAATGAATATGGGACTATACGATCCTGTCCTGCATCAGAAAGCTGGTGGTCTTGATTAATTTTGAATGTAGAAAGTTCTGTAGCCTTTTGTTCTACAATTACTTCACGAAAGACGTGCTGTAGTTCTGTCTGAAGTTAAAGTGCAACACAATGGTACGTGCATTATTGTTGTTAATTTTTACTTATGGATTATCATACAGTATCAATGAATGACACCGTTTTGACTGTCATGGTGTGTGCATAAACGAGTGTGACGTACTTCTTACACTAGGCACTTTTTCCTTTTAAATTTATTCTGACTGTTGACATTGAAATGATGCATGTGCACTGCCTTTTATGCTTAACTTGAACAAGAAAAAATTTTTTTTAGATATATTTTTATTGTGTTAGTTTTTGTTTGGGGGGGGGGGGGGGGGGGGGGGTAAATTTTGAGTACTTGTGTGTTCATTTTAAGACTTTTTATTTAGAAAACAAAAAGGTTCTATTCTATCTACAAAGTCGAACTCTCTGTGAACCAATCAGCACTTCGAATGCACACAAGATGACCAATCAGGATCAACTTTCTTTGTCGTGTCGCCGGACTGCTCCATGACAGGAGAAAAGATTAAATGTGAAATATTTTAATTGTAACAGTATATATTTTTTAAAATTATATTTAGTCAGTGAAACATTTTTCAATGTTTATAATCCCTTATATGAATAGCGACCCAGGACGTCATTGACTACTCTCCCCCTCATCAATTTCTAAAAGTCAGACATCAAACTTCTTAATATTCCTCAATCTATTCATTATAAGCAATATAACAAGTAGCCTATATATTTTTCCTGCACAATAATAATTAAATGTCTGACTCAATAAGTGCAATTCACTTTTATTCCTCAAGGTGGCACTGTTTGATACACAATAATGACATGATGTTTCCAGTGTTGCCCAGATTGGGCAGGTTTTGAATTTGATTGTGCAGGTGGACAAAAATTAGGCTGGTTTGGGGTCAGTTTGGCGGTTTTCAAACATCTAACATTTATAGGCTATTTGGTTAAAAAACAAAACCCAAGTGTGCTTGTACTGCATCCAATCAGTCACCATGTTACTAAACACACACAGGCTGGTGCTGATGTTGACCTCGCCTGCAACACTTTTAGCCAATCACGAAGGAATAAGCAGACAGCTGAGTGACGTTTTTTGTTTGTTTGTTTGTTTGTTTTTAGCAAAAGGGATCCGATTTTGAATGTATAGCTGTATCCTCAAGCGATCACAATGCCAGTGTGGCATAAATATAAGTTACACGGTAAAGAGTGGGATAGTGACTCGACTCTCTCAACATGAATTACTGTGGAAGGAGATGACACGAAAGCTCTTAGTTTACATCAATGTAACTCTGAAATCAGAGCACAGTTAAATCATTAAATCAAAATCGAAAATAATGAATATGGGACTATACGATCCTGTCCTGCATCAGAAAGCTGGTGGTCTTGATTAGTTTTGACTGTGCAAAGTTCTGTAGCCTTTTGTTCTACAATTACTTCACGAAAGACGTGCTGTAGTTCTGTCTGAAGTTAAAGTGCAACACAATGGTACGTGCATTATTGTTGTTAATTTTTACTTATGGATTATCATACAGTATCAATGAATGACACCGTTTTGACTGTCATGGTGTGTGCATAAACGAGTGTGACGTACTTCTTACACTAGGCACTTTTTCCTTTTAAATTTATTCTGACTGTTGACATTGAAATGATGCATGTGCACTGCCTTTTATGCTTAACTTGAACAAGAAAAAATTTATTCGTCCTAAAATATGAAATAAATCGCATAGAAAGCATTAAATTGACCTTTTTCATACATGTCGACACATTGTTGCAACACTAATTTTATGTTTTAAAACAAATTATAAGTAAACCGTTTGTATTTCGTGAAAAAGATTGCTTCAATGAATGTTTTGCAAGATAGAACCTTTTAATTCCAAGTGGGAAATTATTTATTTATTTATTTTAGAATTAGAAGGTTCTATCTGCATTTGACCAGTGTTCCAAAAATCCCCATTTACAAATTTGAGAGGATTTTGATATTGTACATTTAGAATACATTTATTCTGTCATTTTCATGTATGAAAGAGACTTGTTCCCCATCATTTTTTTCTATATGAAAAACAAAAACTTTGAAGCTCAATATCTCAAAACCACTCAGAATGAGAACCTTATAATTCCAAGGTGGCATTTTGAATGGCTGTTAATGAAGAAAAATGATTTTGGGATCCAGATGTTGTAGTTCCGATATATCAGTAGAGGCTGCTGGACCATGCTAACCAGCCAAACCTTAACCCCTTGGTGGAGTCGATTTACATAACATTTGTGCACCAGACAATTTTTAATTTTATATAAAATCCTCCATTTCAAAATACTGAAATCTTTAAGTGGAGCAAATTATTATTTTTTTTTATACATGTATAAAAAATGATGCACTATATTAACAATATACCGATGAAATGCCTCTGAAAGATGTGTAATTCTTGCAGAAGTCCGCTAATTTACAGTAGGATTGTCATTGTAATTTGCAGCTTTCAATTCAAAGTTTTGTCACCGGAAACCACATATTTTTCTTTCCCTCCTTTTTCACCAGATATTGCTGCAGCAGAGGGGCAGAAGTCTTTTAAACGCTTTCTTAAAGTCCTCGTTAAAGATGGTATATATTAGTGGATTGATGAGGGAATTGAGGTACCCAAGCCAGGTGAGGAAATCTGCGAGCACATCGGAAGTGCTGCAGGTCGGGCAAATATTCACAATCACCTCCTTCAGGAAGAACGGTAACCAACAAATCACGAAGGCTCCCAGGATTAGTCCTAACGTCAAAGCCGCCCGTCTCTCCCTGGCCCCTGGGTTCCTGCGGACCTTGATGAGATCACCTGATGAAGAAGTAATACGCACCCTTTCCCCATCTGTCGATGGATCGGAAAATGACTTCTCGACTGGGCAGAGTGTGTCGGGACTGAGGGCGATGTCTTTATCAGAGCTCAGTCCAGGAAGCATGACGTTGCTCACTGTCTGTTTGACTAATCGGCTGCTCCCTCGACGGTTACGCAGTGTCTCCGCAGCCTTGTAGATCTTGTAGTAAAGAATCAAAATGAGGGTCAGTGGAATATAGAATGCTCCGAAAGTGGAGTAGACAGTGAAAGCCACGTGATCGTGCTCGATCAAGCAGTCCATAACTTCTCTCTCCCTATCTTTGTGTTCTACAGGGAATTTCCTCCACACTAAAGGTGGTAGAGACACCAGCACAGACAGTGTCCACAGGGCAAAAATGGTTATGATTGCTCTTTTATACGTGCGTTTCTGGGAATAGGCCACAGCATCGGTAATGGCGCGGTATCGATCAAGCGCAATGGCGGCTAAGTGTAAAATTGAGCAGGTGCAGCACGTAACATCCACACCCAACCACAGGTGACACACGATCGGACCGAGAACCCATGTCTCTTTTGCGATGTACACAATGCTGACAGGCATCACTAGAACAGCTACTAGGAGGTCTGTCACAGCTAAAGAGCAGATGAGGTAGTTGGCGGGTTGGTGGAGTTTGCGGGTGATCAGAATAGCAGTGATGACCATGGAGTTGATGGCGGTGGTTGCCACAGCCAGAATAGAGAGAGTCAGGGAGAGGAGGATCTTACTGGGACTCATCCTGCTGGCCAGAACATCAGAGAGATCCACGGCTGAGCAATTGATAGGATCCATGGTGATCCAAGTACGGTTGTGACCTGTAAGAGATGAATAAAGAAATAGTATGACCAAGAGCAAAACTAATTTCTGTTAAACGCACACACACACACACACACTGACTGCGATTTACATTGATGCCTGAAGTGTGAAATTAAAATCATGTTTTCTACCAACACAAGCCTCAAGTCAACACAAGTAAATCAGTCAAACCATGACACAACTCCAGAGAATTTGTGTTATATAACCTCATTATTTCAGTGGGTATTTTTTAAATGTATTTCCCATGTGTATTTTTATACAGGAGTCTAGCAGACAGATTTCAAAACTGATTTTATTTATAAGAAGATCATAGTAAAACTGACATGGAAACATGCTTTCATCATTCATAAAATTAAAGACATTTTTATATTATCTACAATAAAAAAGAAGATTAAAACTTACATGATTACAAAATTGTTATCAGATATGTGTCATAAATCCTGCAAATAAAAAAATATGCCACCCCCCCCCCCTTTTTTTTTTTACCAGCAATTAGCGGTATATGGGGAGCTAGTCTTTATCATTTATTTTCAAATGCTTTAAATGTATCTGTACGGTGGTCGAGAGCTCAACGCGCTGCAACTTCAGAAAACACATGCAAATAGAAAAAGCACCAAATTATTAAAACAACTTCATCAGTTTGACAGCACATGTGCTGCAAATACTCGCAACACAATCAAATACAAAAACACCAAATGCTCACAACACAAACAAATAAAGAAACGCACAGCAAATGCTCACAACACAACCAAATAAAGAAACGTGCTGCAAAAACAGAAACGTGACGCAAATGCTCACAACACAACCAAATAAACAAACGTGCTGCAAAAACAGAAACGCACCACAAATGCTCACAACACAACCAAATAAACAAATGCGCTGCAAAAAGAGAAATGCGCCGCAAATGCTCACAACACAACCAAATAAACAAATGCGCTGCAAAAACAGAAACGCGGCGCGGCGCGTCAGGACGTTGAGAGCGTCGAGGAGAGTTGAAATCAGGTAAACTTTATGGTAATGAGCTATGCCGGGTTCGGCGGCAACCAATCGGAACGTAGAAGTTCACCGTTTGTGAGGATTCCAGAGAACGCAGTCCTGTAAACTTTGGTTCCAACCACATTAGTTCCCAAGCAAAATGGAGGAGAGGTTGATTATTGCTGTGGCGGGTTTCCTAATAATCTATGACGTGTCCCTGTTTGTGTACAGGGACATACATTTTTAAAACATGATGCGTGGACCAAGGTGTCTGAGATTGTTGGTGTTCCTGGTGAGTTGCTGATGTGCATTAACATTACATGAATAATAATCTAATGATATAATAAATAATAGTATAGTCCCAGTTCACTTTCAAACCTTTAAATACATTTTCCTGATTATACTTACATTAAAGGGTTAGTTCACCCAAAAATAAAAATTAGGGTGTGTTTTACTCACCTCCTCTTGGCTTATATCGAAATCCCCCGACATTCTTCTTTACAAATCCTCGTTTTGTACTTCTAATTAGTGACCGTTGTTTTGTTTCGATCTCTCCGCGTGCGTCACATCTGAGCGGCGCATGCACAAAGCTGACCTCATACGTAATTCCCACGGAACTGCTTCCATTTACAACAGTGAGCGCAAGATTCAAGTGATTATTACGTTTTGAATATGGATATTTTTCTTACAAAAACGCATCGATTCGCTACAGGAGGCCTTTGTTCACCCCCCGGAGCCGTGTGAGACACTTTTTTTTGTGGAAGGGTGCTTTTTATTTCACGTCTTTTGGACAGAAGCAATGCAACCCCCACTGAGTACAACGATAGAGCTTAAAAGATCAAAGACAATTTTTTATATAACTCCGACTGGATTCGTCTGAAAGAAGAAAGTCATATACACCTAGGATGCATCGGGGGTGAGTAAAACACAGCCTAATTTTTATTTTTGGACGATATTTTTGTACGGTTATTTTAAGTAATGTTTATACTTACTTAAGTAACATTTTCAATGCAGTATTTTTACAGTGTGGTATTAGTGCTTTATACATTATGAGGATCTTAATACTTCTTCCACAACAATATTTAATGAGGTTAACTTAACTTAACCTTGTGGTCAGTCTGCACAAGATCAACAAGCATGTTTGCTTTGCGACCCCTTTAAATACTAGATAAGCATTCAATCTAGGTCAGAGCGTCCACAAATCTTTCTACAGCGTTGTTGACAGGGCGGCCAGAGCGATTTTTGACGCTCCCGACGGCGGCGGTGTGAACGCACAGTAAGCATTTCGGGGGGCCTTTAAACTATGAAATATTAAACTAATAAAAATATGAATTATTACATTTAAAACTATAATAGAAACCAAGACTGTAAAAAAATAAAAATAATAATAATTGCAACATTCATTGTGTGAAAAGTATTTAATCCATTAAGACTGTCTCCCATTTGTGGCACCATTTAGCACAACAAAGAAATTGGCCTTCCTATTTCAACATTTAAAAAAAAAAAAGACATAATTCTTCTGTGATATTCATTGTTGGACATTGTTAGTGGGCAAATTAAATAATTAAGTGCTCTAGTGCCCATTGCTGAGGAAACACACCAGCATTTTTGAGGTACATCCATTTCAAATGTAAACTCGAGCAGTCTATTTGATTCAGTTTCCTATGCAGTTCTAAAGGTGGCAAATTTGCTTGCTCGCTCCAAATTTATCACCTCATATGAGCACAAGGCGTGCATATGAGCATTGCACGGCCTGTTTAAAAATATGCCGGGTACATTACTTAAAAGGTACTTATCACTTTTTAGTTTTCTGTTTGCGGGAATAGGATTTATGCTTATGCATGCCAAGTCAGATGAAAGCATTTTAAAATGTTTACTATTTGCGTCACTCCTGGTGAAGCTGTAATCTGGCCTGGCAGTAAGATGCTGATAACACTGAGGTTGGCGCCGCCCTGTCAATCTAATATGCTCCACACAAGTTTGGTGATTCATTTTTTACAGTGCAGTGGAAGCTCACCAGTGAGCACGCTGACTGCTCATAAAGCTGCAAATAGATGGCCAACCCTGTCTCTGTCAATGCCAAGCCATGCTAGTCAGTGTGATCATATTAAGACCATCCCAGCTAGCTATTTTCTCCTGCCAACCACACTTCTCACTTCTTACTGTTGGTTCTAATCAGGCTGTTTAAACACTATTAGCACTCTGCCCTATTTTCTAGATTCGTGTTGTCACTATAAACACAGCTTTACATTGCATTGGCTATAAACACTGGCTCTGTTCCAAAATGTATCACTAGTGAGCTGCCTTGCTGTCGGCACCTATAAAATGGTCTTCATAGGCACCAACGTTATATATCATACAGGTAGCGCTCCTTACACAACACACAAAAGCCTCGATTCAAAATTCATTCCAATAGACTCTGGTATTAGCATGCTGCTAAGCTAACGCTTTGATAAGGTTGCTTTTACACTTAACCCCAAGTTTAACAGGGTCCACACACCTAGTTTTTGGGTCAAAACCAAAGATTTGTGTCATCAAAGCTCATAACTTTGCGATGCTATTTGTGAATGTTCACTGGATCTATGGTTTCAGGAAACACCAAACAGGTGAACTACGATGCTAACAATGGCACTAATTGCGACTATAGTTAGCTAACAATGCTTTTGGCAAACACTTCCCTGCTAAGCATGACCACTAGTTTTTACTGGCCTCATAATGCTTTCTGGGATTGCAGATGAAGCTGCCTTGGAATCAGGCCAAAATAAGGTATCTTCAGTATAATTATGCTGCCTACCTTTTGGAACAACCCTCATGCACTTATAATGCTTTAAAGTGCTGCCAGTGGAGACAGCAAAGCGTAGGTTAAGCTGAATATCAGATTTGCAATAATATGTAGCTACTACAGTGTGTTTTCAACTGTTTAACCATGTACAAATTCACTTTAATTTTTATCTTTATCCAATTTCCTTTACTTTCATGCATTTAAAGATATTTCACTCACAGTAATATCAAACATGAATTTTTTGAGTATGTATAACAAGACATCATTCACACAGACATTTTCTCTTTCAGAAAATTTTTCTACAGATAATTTACAAGAAAAAAGCCATATTCTGCTAAAGAAAACAAATCACAGGATCCACTCTAGGTGTGCAGGCAATAGGGACTGTGTATCTCACACAAATAATTTCTTGATTTACACTCCATTAAAATATTTGCATATGTGATATGCCTTGAAGACGTTCAAATTCCTGCCTGGGTTACCTGCTAGATGGCAATTCCCCTCCTCAGAGAATCTCAAAAGACCAAAGGTAATTGCGAGAAGTTTCAGTGAATATATAAGCGTTGGAATGTCTCACAGTTCCCTCCCAAATGACCTACTTTGTTCATTCACTGAGCACTATGGTGCAGCAGATTTGTCACTGTTTTTGCTGCTGCTACGGCTTCATCAGCCTTGACACATGGTCCTAGTGTAAATTAGGAAATCAAAAACAAACCAATATTTTGTCTCACAAATGTTTTGTCTGTTAGTGATGGTTGGATAGAGAAGATATAAAATCTGGCGTATTGTTTTCAATGTATTTCAAGTGTGGATGCTCTGAATGAAGGTTTTTAACATTTAATGCAAAAACATGTGGCATATTTCCAAGTGAAACAGGAAATTTAAAGAATGTAGGGCGAGACTATATTTGATCCATTTTTGATTGGATTGGATCATGAAATGGTTGTTATAGAAATCAAAATGAAGCCAGGTGGTCGGAGAGGAGGGGCTGAAAAGTAAAAGTGATTAATGAAAACAGCTGAAAAGGAAAGTCATTTCAGAGCAAGTTATTACATTCTGATAAAAGATTCTGAAGCAAATGAATCATGCACAATAACACCTGCACTGTGTATTAAAAAAAATAAATATAGGGTCAAATTTGATTTCATGCTGGCACCTCACCACTTCTTATCCCTTTTTAAAGTATAATAATGCACACGGATAATACCTGACTGCCTGACTATTGGGCTTGGGAGATATACTATAATTTAGACAGAGGCTGTTTGCACTACGTGTATTATTTACAATAAGTGTACTAAGTAGTACTAAGTAGTAGTTAGATGCAATTTGCATTAAGTGCAAATAGTGCTAGATGCTATTTGTGCATCACTTTATTTATAGTAAATTATAAAACAGTATGCCATAACAACATATTCAGAGAATATTTATTAAAACTATAAATGGGTGCTGCCTTATTGGGACCTTACTTGTCTCTATCCCTAAAACCTAAGCCTACATCTAACCCTAAGCAGGCTGAACCTACTGTTCAGTAAAGGTGATTTCTACAAGGAAATTATCCATTAATTTTATGGACATTTTCTTTAATCCTAATACACAATGCAATGAAGTGAACAATTCAAAATACAGAGAATAACAGTAAAAAAAAGAAAATTCCTTCATATTAATAAAGTACATCATGCCCTATTTTTATGAATGCATAGCGGTCGATCTGCCCGTCTGCCCAATTAATGAGAGGACACCACATTAAATAAATGTTAAAGGGTTAGTTCACCCAAAAATGAAAATTAGCTCATAAATTACTCACCCTCAAATCATCCTAGGTGTATATGACTTTCTTCTTTCAGATGAATCCAAATCGGAGTTATATAAAAAATTGTCTTTGATCTTTCAAGCTGTTTAATGCCACTCAGCGGGTGTTGCATGCATCAGTCCAAAAGAAGTTAAATAAAAAGTGCCCATCCATAAAAAAAGTGTTTCACACGGCTCCGTGAACATAGGCCTCCTGTACACTCTTAAAAATAAAGGTGCTTCAAAAGGTTCTTCAAGCGATGCCATAGAATAACCATTTTTGGTTCCACAAAGAACCATTCAGTCAAAGGTTCTTTAAAGAACCATCTCTTTCTTACCTTTTTGTAATCTGAAGAACCTTATTTCGCCACAAAGAACCTTTTGTGAAACAGAAAGGTTCTTCAGATGTTAAAGGTTCTTTATGGAACCATTTAGACAAAATGGTTCTTCTATGGGATCGTGAAGCACCTTTATTTTTAAGAGTGTAGCGAACCGATGTGTTTTTGTAAGAAAAATATCCATATTCAAAACGTAATAATCACTTTAATGTAGCTTGCGCCAACAGTTGTACACGGAAGCACTTCCGGGCGGATGATGTATGAGGTCGGTTTTTTCTTACAAAAACGCATCGATTCGCTACAGGAGGCCTTTGTTGAACTGAAACTCTGAACTGAAATGTGATGGGAAAAGGAAGAAGAAGAATGTGATCAGAAAAGGACAAATTTTCGAATCAGTCACGTCAAGAACTAAGTCCTCACTCTCCACGCTACTGGTTTCTTTGTAATTTTGTCTGGTTCGAGCAGAAAATGGAGGCAGAGTTAATGTAAGCTGCTTTTGCCATCAAGATGGGCTATTTGCACTTAATGTAATAGACACTCTGTAAAATGTATTTTAAGTCATTTTACAGAGTGTAATTTTAGAGGAAGACATTTAGATTAAAGATTACATAAACATTTTTTTTTGCTCTTTTGAATTGCATGCAGCAATGAATTATTTACAATAAAACGGACCCAGCATTAAAAAATTAATTAGCATTATTTTGAAGTATCTATAGTGAATTCCAATTCCCCACTTAGAAAGGTTTACACATTAAGTTTGATTCATCCAAAGGTCTGATGTAACCATCTGGAAGGTGGAATTTCATTCAGGACTTACTAATTTTTTTTACCAAAATAAAGAACTGTGCCTTGGAGTAGGCTACATAAATCTTATGCAACACGTCTCAAGAGGTTGTGCGATTTTTTTTTGCAATCTCTACTTCAGAGAGCAAACAACAACAGACTGTCATGGAGATACATCACCAGATGCAGAATAACTGAAGATCTGTCCTTCTCAAACGTTCAGCACTGGCTGTGCCAAAAAGCCTTCTGGGTGTTGGACTGGTGAAGTCACTTCAGGCTCGAGTCAGCCTGGTATGACAGTGATATTCCTTTAAAGGAATAATTCATCAAAAAGTGAAATTTAGCATTACATCTCTTGTTAACAAATGGATCCACTGAATGGGTGCCGTCAGAATGAGAGTCCAAACAGCTGATAAAAACATAACATAATCCACAAGTAATCTACACAACTCCAGTCTATCGATTAACGTCTTGAATCACTGCATGGTTGTAAGAAACAAATCGATCATTAAAGGGGTCATATGATGCTTTTTTAAAGATCATTATTTTGTGTATTTGGTGTAACAGAATATGTTGACATGCTTTAATGTTCAAAAAACACATTATTTTTTCAAATACTGTACATTATTGTAGGTCCTCTATGCCCCGCCTCTCTCAAACGCTTCGTTTTCTACAAAGTCCCTTCTTCCGACAAGCGCAGTCTGCTCTGATTGGCCAGCTGACCCAGTGCATTGTGATTGGCCGAACACCGCAAGCACTCGTCGGAAATGTAACGCCCCTTACCATAATCGCAAGCTTCATCTTTCAAAATAAATGCAAAGACAGAGCCCGAAAGGGGAACAGAGTCGCGTGCCAGACACAGTGATGAGTATGTGTTTGCAGTACACAAGCCACGGTTAAGACAGCTGACTCCACTGTGATGTGATCTCTGTCTCTCTCTCTCTCACACACACACGCGCGCGCGAGCA